GTTTAAGTTATCACTGATGGTCATCATTCAAGATTGTTTTCTTATTTCTTCCTCAAACACCGTGGTTCACCATTGCTTCCATGTGAAACATATTAATCACTGCAGTAGTTATTCAATAGAACATTCTTAACTGTTTGCTTATTTAAATCTAGGCAGTGACTTTCCTTGACCAAGCTGTGTGTGACATTTTTCAGTAGTGTTTCCTGCACTACAATAAGGCTAGTCAACTGTCACTGACCATACTGAACAGGTACCTGTGTTGCTCTATTGCCTTACATATTAAAACTTAAACAGCAGCCTAGAACCAAAGGTGTAAAAATATGTAAAGCACAATCAGGACAAACAGATTCACAGGTAAGAAATACGTTTTAAGACTGATTTCAGTACTAGGAGTCTAAAACAGAGTACCAAAACTCATTAATCATCATTAAATGATAAAAAATAGCACCTTCTGTTGTATGATAAATATTTATGGATAGCCTTTTTACACACAAAATTTGTGTGATTTGACTGAGGTTTAAGAGCGTGACAGAGTCCTTCTTACCGCCGCCTCCTCCACGGCCCGAGTCCACAAGCTGAAGTAATTTAGGATTGATGGCTTGGTGTGCCTCCTCCAGCACCCGGACAAGGTCTCGTGCCTGTCGCAGGTTTCCTGGGGTGAAGAAGGTGTAAGCAGTGCCCTTGTTGGTACTGCGAGCTGTACGCCCAATACGATGGACATAATCCTCAGAGGAGCTTGGATAGTCATAGTTGATGACGAACTTGACATCCTCCACATCTTTTGAATTAAAACCAATATTAGAGGAAGGGAGAAAGTAAATACATGAGAATCTCAAGATCAGGACTTCTGGAGAAAAAAGGTAATTTTATTTTAGCCCAAATATATGATTACAACTAAATATCTTCCAAATGCATTATTAGGAGAATTTCTAAACGAATAACTTACCTGCTTATTTAGACATCATGCAAAAATCCAAACGACATTCAAAAATAACTGAAAAGTAGCTTTTTGTGCTCAGCAGATATAAAGTGAGCAGGGAATTCAGCTGAAATCATGATTTGGATTTGTAATCTTCACATTAATGTGACTGCTGCTCAGAATGTGCGAGGACAACGAGTCTGTTTCTCATTACAGAAGATGTGGGGCTCTGACAGCACTGCTGATCAATAAGTCTCCCTTCTCCCCTCCATCGTGACAGAGGGAAGCCACTTAATCAACCATTACCTACTACATAGGAATAATAATGTACCGTGACTGAATGCTACTGATTTTAATGAGTACTAAGGCAGTACCTGAATGTATGGTGAGCTCGTGGAGGAGTTAGGACAAAGGGGTGGTGAGGTACTTACCCCCTTCATGTTGTGTTTACAAAGGTAGTCAGTCCCCCCTGATCAGTCCTGGTTCACGAGGAGGGGCTGAGGGAGAGGGAGACGGGATTCCTCCCTCACCTTCTGCTCACACCAGCAACGTCAGACGGGAGCAGAACCGTTAAATCTCCAGAGACACACCCAGCCACGCAAACACACACACGTTTACACAAACACACACACACAACGGGTGGTTCTGTTGCTCTCTCGCCGCATTGCAGGGCCCTCCTCAGACCCTGGCCAGGACTGGATCCAGACGAGCCCGTCTAACTCTCTCTCTCCTGTCTGTCTGCTTTTTGGGACGGACCGATGGGCAGACATACAGGAACCTCAGGCTGCTCCCAAGGAAGGCTCGTTGGATTTACAAACTCTGACAATACTGGGCAGGGGGGATCTTTTTTTAGTCGAATAAGAGGGGCTGTAATCCCTCTAAAACTAGCGAAGCTTCTATTTTAACGTGAATGAGGGGGCAGTGACAGCAGCGCAGATTGTTACAGCTGCCATGTGCTGCCAAACCCTGAGAGGAGAAGAGGGGAAAAGAGAACAAGGATTCGGTCATGGGGATTTTGGAAAAATTAAGACACTTTCACTTATCCCCCCTTCTCAAGATTATCCTGTCAACAAGTGGATCTGAGAAAATTCATCTGTCTTTATTCTACACATATGCATCTGCAAAACATAGCAAACTTTAACATTTTTGCAGAATAAAGGGACAACTACACAATTTATCGTTTAACGCTTAGATTAAAAAAAAAGGGCAATATGTGCGACATCCTTAGTAAATTTGTCCTGACACCACAAAGGAGACATAAGAAAAGGTGCACAGGAGCATCTGTCCCACACACCCCTCCTTTCAGGCAGCGTGCCAAAGAGCCCCGTTTGAAGGAAGCCTTTAAACTGCAGTAACAAGAAACAGACTATAAACCCAGTGGACCAGAGGGCCTGCAGCCTCCATACTGGACAAAATGGTCCGTTAGACTGTCACATTATTACAGTAAGTAAGTACAGTACACACTGTATAATACGAAATTACTGGTGTATTAATCTCCTGTAACTAATGTGCTAATGTCCTGTTTAACCGAGAGACCACATTAATAGGTTAAAACCAGAACCAGAAGTGTTATTAGTTTTGTATTTAACTTTTTTTTTAGATTTTAGTATGGACTTACTCATTGCAGGTTTTTTTTGATAACTTTTAGTTGTAGTTAATTTTTTATTATTTTAAGCTTTAGCTTTACAAGTTTTTTTTAAGTATTATAATATGGAGTATAATTTTCAGGAAGAAGAACAAGCTTAGAATATATTTCACAATGCAGACACTGGTACACAGTGACATAAGTATGACATAAATACCCCATATCTCAATAGAAATCTGTACCAATACCGGCTGTATTGGTAAATTTCGGCCAACCTGAGAAATACTAAAACTAAGGACATTTCTTGGATATTTTTATTTTGTTTTGTTTATGTGCAAAATATAGTTTCAGTTAACCTTTTTCAAGAGTTTTATTTCAGTTAACTACACTTTAGTTTTTATTTTATTCATTTACTATAATGACACTGACTCATAATAGAAACATAATTAAAATGAATTTTTTTAAAATCTATTAACCTTAATTTTTTAAATGCAAAAATGTTAACAGATCAAATGACATACTTGTGATCTTCCACTAGAATTAAGTACATGTACTGAAAGGCAAACAATGAGTTTTTGCAAAATATTGTAGCCTTTTTTTAAATTTTTATAGCAGATGTGTACTTAGTGTATTTAAGTGTTATTTTGTAATTATTGTTGACCCAAATTAATACATTCCTAATAACAAAAAACTGTCATAAAACCACCTGAGTGTAATTGTTGGAGGACAATTCTGCAAGAAAATGTATATTTTGTGTTTTGATTTATATCTGCCAATTGCAAGAAAGGTTGATCTCCAGCTGTCCACTTACAGACAATCTACTGGCCTACTTGTAAAGATATTTAGCAGAACAGAGGTCACTTTAATAGGAACCCACCAACTATAACCGTGTTATTCTTTTATGTATATATTATAAGTTATTTCTGAAAAAAAAAATATTTAAAAAAACAAATCACAATGACACAGTGATACAGAATTACATGAGATACTATGAATTATTAAGATAGTGAGATATATTATGAGCTATTGTGTGGTGAGACATACCCAGACCACGAGAGGCAACATCAGTGGCAATCAGAATGGGGGCTTTGCCACTCCGAAATTCTGTGGAATAAAATCAAACAACAACAGAAGAGGATCATTTTGTAAAATACTGGTAACAGATGAATGGGAAGAAAATAACCCACAACAAAGACAAGACAGAAGGTGGCACCACTTTATCCTCACCTGTAAGTACCCAGTCTCTTTCAGGCTGGCTCTTGTCTCCGTGAATGCACATGGCCGGCCACCTAGAAAACGAAAAGTAGCAAGATTACTCCACCTTCAGTATTTTAATGTTCAATATTTCTCCTAGAAATACTTTGTAATTATCACAAGAGAGAGTATCTCCTCACCCATCACGCCTCATCCTCCGTGTAAGATCATCACAGCGTTTCTTAGTCTCCACAAAGATGATGGTTTTGTTCTCTTTTTCAGCCATTATCTCCTCCATCAGCTGAATGAGTCTGCCAACAAAGAAAGAGCTCAAATTAGACCTATAATGAAAGATTACAACATGCTATTTTACTGTAGTCATATTTTTGTTGGCTTTTCTTACTTGTCGTCCTTTTCAGTCTCCATGCAGACATCGACTATTTGCAGGATGTTGTGGTTGGCGCTGAGCTCCAGAGCTCCGATATTGATCTGGATGTAGTCCCTCAGGAAGTCCTCAGCCAGCTGCCGAACCTCTTTTGGCCACGTTGCACTCCACATCAGAGTCTGTCTGTCAGGCTAAGAGACAGAGAAGGAAATAGATTTTAACTGAAAAACACTTCTACGATAGGTTTTTATCCACAATCTTAATAGTAAACCAGCCCTCAGCCTTACCCGAATTTGTTCTACTATCTTGCGAATCTGCGGTTCAAAGCCCATGTCCAACATGCGGTCAGCCTCATCCAGCACTAAGTAGGTGCAGCGGCGCAGGTTGGTCTTCCCTGCCTCTAAGAAATCAATGAGGCGACCAGGTGTGGCAATGCAAATCTCAACCCCTAGAGTCAAGAAGACCAGAAAAAACAATACACATCTTGAAAGGTGCTCAGGCAAAGTGCGCCTTATAACAGTTTTCAATAATCCACTGCATGTCCTTATCTACACCCAACCATACCTCGTTCAAGGTCTCGAATCTGTGGTCCTTTTGGAGCTCCACCGTAGACACAGGTGCTTTTGATACGGGAAGACTTCCCATAGTCATAAGCGACCTGTTGTACCTGCTGAGCCAACTCTCTGGTTGGGGCAAGTACCAAACACTACGAAGAGATGAGGATAATAAATAAGGAAGGTTACAGAATGACAGGAGACCTGCACTAAGATCATGATTTAAATAAAATCTGTATTATATTATGGTATTATATTACACATTAAGTTTAAACTTACAATTGGACCATCTCCCCTCTCCAGATAGGGTTGGTGGTTGATGTGTACAATAGCTGGAAGAAGGTACTGCAGGAAAAATTGTAAAAAAAATTAGTAAAACCAACTAATGCCCATTTGAAAGTCTTTTGGTATAAGCATAAAAATGATTTTCTTCCTACTTCTGCAGTTAACCTAGCAACATGTGCTACATACAGAAATTATTATTGACTTTTAAATAAAGCATTAAAAATTCTGTCATGGTCCCAAATGATGAAGGATTCTCACAGCCAGTGTCTTTCCCGATCCAGTCTGTGCAATCCCCACCATGTCCCTGCCACTCAGGGCCGCAGGAAAACCCTGGGACTGGATTGCTGTGGGCTCCTTGAAGTTCTGCTGCATCAGCACATCCATCACGTACTCTGTCAGGAAAATGAGGGAGACAATCAACAAAAAGCTGTGCAGATGTTTTGATCTTCTTTGTTTCCTTTCATCAGAAGAATTGTTTGTTTAAATATACCTGCAGTATGTGTAAGAAACATTTTGATAATGGCTTTAAAACAAATTTATGAGATTTTATAGTCACTGGATGTTTGAGTTTGTGAAAGAAAAAATTACTAAAACTAATGCTTTGCTAATGTTTTATACAAATGATCTGTGCCAGCATCATAGTTTATGCAATGTATTTTTTACTGACGAGGAAACTGCGCGTGGTGAAAAGCGGTGACAGGCTTTGGACAGCCGGACCCTCTGATTGTGATCTCCTTTCTTTTGCGGAAGTCTTCCACTTCATACTATACATAACAAGAAAAGAAGGGGAAAAACATACATCAGGGGATGGTGTGTAAATTGGTCACATTTTTCAGAGTATGTTCTAAAGTTTTACCAAAGAATTACAATTTTTGCTGCTTTTATTGTATGTTTCCACTTTTTCTCACACAAGCAAAAGCACTATTTGAAACAGAACTTATTACCAAAAATACCCTCCAAAAATAAGGTCAATCACATTTTCATATTACTGATGTAGAAGAAAAACAGTAAACATTTACCTGATTCACACGTTGCACCTCAAGATGTTCAGTGTAGAAGTTCTTCTCAAATTTTGGCAGCTCATCCAGATTCCACCTCTTCTTTCGAAGACGCTCCCCTGGATTCCCAAACTTCATTGGTGGAGGTCCACCGCGACCGCTCATGGGCCCAAACCGTGGCCTGAGAAATAAGAGCAATGAGATAAAGAGCACAGAAGACTCAGAACCGCAAGCTGCAGCAAAGCATTGACAGTTGAGCTAATGCTGCAATTATGATCCTGACCAAAATATGTATCGCTTACTGAAAATGCATGTAACAACACTGTAATTTTATTATAATCATCAAGTCTACAGTGCCAATCCTATATTAGTCCACAAAAACTGTAGGACTTTAACTCCTCTACACCAGTCAATAAATGCTCTGTTGTGCTTTGTTTACATAACCTAAAGCTTTAGGGTTATTTTAAGATAGTTATAATACCTTTAATCCTTTACAGAAATTATGTAATGACTGCAGCAGATATAAACCTAGGATTATAATGTTCAGTTAAGTTCAGATGTCTATACATCACCGAAGGTGTGCTAGTAAGTGTAGTGTGATGACACAACGATTACTTATGTACACCGGTAGAAGTAACAAACCCCAACACTTTACCTTTACAATTTCCTAAGTAATAAAATTTAATGTTAAAAATACCAGGTAGCCCTAAGTTGTACTGATATTTAAACAGCAGATACTGGCGACCTGAACTTTATTATTCGTTTAAGCCTGCTGAAGCTCAAAAGCTCTCCAATCTGATTGACTGTTTAACCAACATTAAACAATGGTTGAACAATAACTGCTTACAGCTAAACCCAG